TTTCCCCCTCATGTTATTCTCCCAGGGGATCCTGCCCATCTGTTCCCTGAGGGAGTCAAAGTCTGCTTTTCTGAAGTCCAGGGTCCGTATTCTGCTGCTCTCCTTTCTTCCTTGTGTCAGGATCCTGAACTCAACCATCTCATGGTCACTGCCTCCCAGGTTCCCATCCACTTTTGCTTCCCCTACTAATTCTTCCCAGTTTGTGAGCAGCAGGTCTAGCAGAGCTCTGCCCCTAGTTGGTTCCTCCAGCACTTGCACCAGGAGATTGTCCCCTACACTTTCCAAAAACTTCCTGGATTGTCTGTGCACTGCTGTATTGCTCTCCCAGCAGATATCAGGGTGATTAAAGTCTCCCATGAGAACCAGGGCCTGCGATCTAGTAACTTCTGCTGGTTGCCGGAAGAAAGCCTGTAGCATGATTTTTGTTGGGGGACGTTGCACATTCCTTTCTGATATAGCTCCTCTTCTGACTGTAATAAAGATGTAACAATTCACTGCCAATCAGACTGGGGAACCCTGAATAGTGAAAGCTTTCAGGGCCAACTTTCGTGTGTCCTGTACCATTTTTTTCAAGTCATCTTGAAGAAAAGACATGGAAATGAAGAATTGCTGTTTAAGGAGTCGTACTCCTACAATATCAAATCCTTGCTCCTTCCCTTGTTGCAGTGGGTCATGTAGAGCCAGTGGGCTTGTGTGGGAGGACAAACACTTGAGTTTTTTTTTCTCTGGCATTCTCCTGTAATGCAGTTTGATTTCTGTTCTTTAATTATTTTATGTGATGACAGCTTGGGGTTTGGAATAGCAAGCAGAGGTGGTAACTGACAAAGGCATAATCATGGATCGTCTCTCTGTTGTCTCCATGGCACCACCCAACCTTATTTTAGAGATCTCCGACAATCTGCTCATCCCTTTCTCTAATTCAATACAGATATCCGGCAAAGTTCAGTAGGCACAGCGTGGTTCCTGCTTAATCACTGTCCTCTTTTCAACTTTCGTTGTGTTAAGATTTTTTTTAAACAGAACATTCTCCATCACTTTTAATGAACCTTTACAAATAAAACTAGCAACAACAAAAAAGAAGTCCCTTTTTGTTGAATTAGTTCTCTCCTCTCACCTCTCCTTTTTAGTTAAAAGCAATATAATTAATGTTAGTGGATTTTAGAAATAAAGGAATTGCCATATCATTGTCATGTCATTGACTATTACCTATAATCCATGCTTTCTGGTATTCTGTCTCTGAGAGCAGCCAGTCCCAGATGCTTCAGAGGAAGGTGTATGAAAAGGTATAATGGATAACAATGAAGTAATATGCTCAAAGACCAAATTTTACCCCTGTCAGTGGCTGGCCTATGCACACTGAAGCAGGGTTTATGTCCTGTGGACATTATTTTTTAATCCTAATTACCAACCCCAAGCATTCAAAAATCATGAGACAGACCCCCTCCCCCAATAAAGAAATTGGCTTAATCACAAGATGTTTTTAAAAGAATAAATTTTAGGTTACTTTGTCTTTAGGTTCTTTGCCGTAGGTCACACATGCTTCCCATTTTCAAGCTTTTTTCTGTAACCAGGAGGACTAGAAACGGAATTTTTGAAAAAAATGGAAGCTGAGATTCTCATGCAGTTTCTTGATTCCAGGAGCTGGGGCTTTAAGAAATATGCCAAAAAATCAGAGTTGGCAACACTGCAAGGCCCCAAAATGGATGAAATGAGCAATTGCCAGATTCAGTATAAATATAGAAGTTCTTATTAAGCTTCCTTTTTGGAATTCTGCTATGCTCTCCATCTCAATAATATCTTGTGGCAAACAGTACCAGGTTAATTGTGTTGTGGGGGGCGGGAGGGTTGGTTAAAGTGCTTTATCAGCTTTAAAATATAACACAGGGGTATATCCCTGCACTTTCTGATCCTGTGCAGTGTAGGAGCTACACCACCTTTGAGATGGTGCATGCTCTTCCTGGTCTTCTCTCTCTGCTCTGCCTTGGCCTTTCTTCCCTCTCATTCTTTTGCCTAATGTGTGCTCCCATAGGTACACAGAGGGAGCACAAGAGCCAGATTCTCAGCTGAAATAATTTGCCGGAACCCTATTGATTTTGATTATTTAAACCAGCTGAGGATCTAGCACAGGGAGTACAACTTTGACTGAGCCCTACACAGTGTGGGCAAGTAGAGGTGGACTCCTTTAGTTGTCTCTACCCATATACTTGCACTCGAGCTGGTCACGATCTGCCACTTGGTGCATACACTTGTACTTCTAAAAATGCTTTTACTGTCTCTCTAATATCTGTGGTTTGATCTGATCTGTTCTGTGTAATAAGCAATACTTTCATTTCTTCCAATCTCCGTGTAACCATCTAAGCCGACTCTTTCCACTGAGTCTTTCTGGGCGATATATTTGGTTCACTGTCAGGCATTGTGGCAAGGTGCAGTTAGCCAGCTTGCTGGTAGCTTAGAGAGCACTGAGGATACTGGGTCTGAATAGAGTAGGAGGGATTTAGGTAGTTTGAGTGGGTTTGGAAGGTCAGAAGGGATCACTTGGACCTACAGAGAACCTGATGAGCTGATGAGGTAATTAGCTCACAGGTGGGATAGCTGGGAAAAGAAGGCAAACAGTATAAAAGGCTGAGCCAGGGGGCAGAAAGGGAGACTTCTTCTAGTTGCTACTATATCTGTGATCTATCTGGTGCACAAGGGAGAACAGTGACAATAAAGACACTTGGTGAGGGTACACTGGTAGACCGTGTGTGCTGTTTAATTCACCCAGAGGCTTACCAATCTACAGTGTTTCCAGGTGCTGAAAGGGAAATCAATTTACAACCAGGCATTTATAGTAAGGAAGTTCATAAAAACTGGCAACACACAAAAAATATTTTAGAACCTCAAATGCACAGATGAAGTCTCCTACACCAGCTACTTTTTCATAGCACAACCTTTTGGTAGAAATGAAATGTTATTAAACTATTCTGTGTATCCAGTGTGCTATTTTTGATACAGGAAACCAAGGCTGGCTTTGGAAATGTATAGGATAAAAGTCAATACCGGTTCAGATCCATGTCATTATTTTAACCAAAACCTGAAGCCTGGAGTGGGTTTTCTTAAATAGCCTTGACTTCTATTGATTAGGAATGTTTGACTTTTCTGAGAAAAAACAAGTGGAAAAAAATGTTACAAATATGGATGTTGTGTTAATAATATAAACATTACTATTCCAGATAAAGAAGGCTGTGCAGCAGGAAGGCTTTGGCAGAAAAAAGCGAGGCTATAGAGAGATCAATGAAATTGACATAAACATGAATGATCCTTTATTTACAAAGCAGTGGTACCTGGTAAGCAAATCAGTTATTTTTAATAGAGATCTTCAGTAACCAAAAAAACCCCATAGTTTACTTACACATTATTTCTTCTTGTTGCAATAATCTGGGAACATGCCCTCCAGATTTCTCACCAGAACTTCGAACTTATTCCAAGAGAATTTTTCCCAGGATATCTAGGGAGCCTACTGTATGCTGGGACTGGAGTTAGGGGCATGAGCCAAAGTTCAATGATGTCAGTAGAAAGACTCTCATTGACTTCAGTGGGCTTTGAATCAGTGGGGGTTGTGTGAGCACTCGTGCAGTACAGCCAGGATTGTTAAAACTGATAATGTACCTCAGTGTCAAGTCTCAGTGCTTTGCTTTAAGGAGCTCTTAATCATACGGACACAACCAGTGTCCGTGTGGAAGCTCATTAATGTGTGTTACACAACTGTTAGGAAAATATTGTCTTCCCCTCCCCTGGTGGAAAATTTCAGTTTTTCATCAAAAAGATTCACAAAGGGATTTAGCACAAATCTAAGAAGGGAGGGGGGAGGTGCCCTGGATACAAGAGCTAGTCAAAACAATTTTGTTTAAACTTTGTTTTCCAAAGGAAAATGTGGTTGTTTTGTTTTAAATTGAAACATTTTAAAAAATGTTGACTTTGACAAAAATTCCAGGAAAAAATCAAACAAAAAAAATCGTTTCAGAAAATTTTCATTTAGGAAAATTATGGATTTAAATGTCAGAATTTCAATATTTTGTTTCAGAATTTTAAAATTGTTTTGAATTTTATTTTTTTCTTTTTATATTTATTTTTACATCATTTCTTGACATGTCAGTAGTAGAGTAGCATAACATGCGCTCCTACTACAGATGTGTCAAAATATGACAATATAGTAGTTATTTGTATTTTATTTTACTTTTTAAAATCGTTAAGGGTAGCTGCTGCTTATTACTGATTTGAAACCTATTATATTATTTCCTAGATCAAAGTGTCTCCTATTTGTGTTATAATGAAACAATCTATTAAACTATTTCAAATATTGTTTTCAGTGTTGTAATCATGTTGGTTCCAAGATATGAGAGATACAAGGTGAGTGAGGTAATACCTTTTACTGGACCAACTCCAGTTGGTGAATTAGACAAGCTTTTGAGCTATGTGGAGCTCTTCTTCGGGTCTGGAAGAGGTCAATTCAACTATCTGTTTCATTACAATACAAACAGGAGACACTTTGATCTAGAATGGAATATAAGAAGTTTCAATCAGCACTAAGTAGCAGCTGCCGTTAATGATTTCAAAATTTCAGAATGAAAATTAGAAATTCCAAAAGAAAATTAGAAATTCAGAATTAAATTTTGATATGAAAATTTTCCTAAATAATTTCTTTTGAAATTTCCAGTTTGGGAAATGTCACAAATATTTTTTGAGTCCAATTTGGAACAAAAGACACTTAGAAATATCAAACCAGAAATTGTGAGTGTCAACCAGTTCTGCTGTTGATGATGGAAGGGAAATAAGGGATGTGGTGGGAGTTCAGAACATGTCTAAGCAATTCAACTATCTGTAATTGAATATAGTCCTTGAAAAAATGTTTATCACAAATAGAGGTTATTGTGTATATTGTTTTATGTCCTTAGTAAGAATATATTTGAGGTGAGATTGAGCAGATACCTTCAAACATCTGACCAACGGGTTGGTATAGAAGCGCCCTATCTAAGGCCCCAGTTCAACAAGGGAATTAAGTGTGTTTAATTTTAAGCATATGAATAATCCCATTTGATTTCAGTGGGACTACTTACATGCTTACGTGCTTCTCTGGAGTGGAATCTAGGGGCCTGATCCTGAATTCACTGGGAGTTCTACACATGGGATCCTTGTGAGATCAGGCCCTAATAGGAGTCAAACCTTATGCTGTCTCAGAATTCTCTTGCTCTTGTGGGTTCATTTTTCCATTTTCCATATTATATAAATATGTGCTCCAGGGTACGTCTTCACTACCCGCCGTATCGGCGGATAGCAATCGATTTATCCAGGATCGATATATCGCGTCTTAACGAGACGCGATATATCGATCCCCGAACGCGCTCACCGTCGACTCCAGAACTCCACCGGAGCGAGCAGCGGTAGCGCAGTCGACGGGGGAGCTGCGGCCGTCGATCCCGCGCTGTGTGGACCCCAGGTAATTCGATCCAAGAT